CACAGAGAGAGACAGACAGACAGACAGACAGACACAGAGAGAGAATCACATAGAGAGACATGGAGGGAGGGAGGGTTGGAGAGAGAGGCAAAGAGCCACACACAGACAGACAGACAGACAGACTCACACAGAGAGAGAAAGAGAAAGAGAAAGAAAGGAAGAAAGGAAAAAAGAAAGAAAAAGTGAGAGAGATGAAAGAAAAAAGAAAAAAGGGACAGAGAGACCAAAGGAAGGAAAGAGAGAGAGAGAGAGAGAGAGAGAGAGAGAGAGAGAGAGAAAACACATGGCCGGCAAGCCACTCCCACAAAGGAGGCCACACCCACAGAGTAGGTTTTTGAAACCTAGGCGCACACAAGTGGGAGAGAGGAAGATGCAACGTTCGCCTGTTTGAATTTGCACCTGAGAGAATTTGATGGATTGACACCCATTGGCCTTTTCCAAACACGTTTTTGACTTTCTTGCCCACAGCAGAAAAGCCCCATTTCTAAAGAGGGGGTGGGGAGAGGAAGCAGCGAACCTGTTCGCTCGAAGCAATCTGCCTTGGCCCTGGGGGTAACCTTGGCAAACAGCCTAGTCTCCGAGCAGCAGAAAGTCGTAGAAAAGGCAAGCTCCTTTGGGCTCAGGCTCCCACACCAAGGGAGCCAGAGGAAGGGCTCGGCAGCAGGAGGCAGGTGGCCCTTCCGAGCCAATGGGGCGTTGAAGGGCGTTTGGCTCCGCATTGGCAGCAGGGTTGAGAACTCCTACAAGAAGAGGTTCGAACAAATGCAGCGCCTGGTCTTCGGCTCTTCTGGAACAACAGGCTGCTTGACTTGAGTCGCCTAGCACCGTCCCGGCTTACAAAGGAACCTCCCGGTTCCTTGGAACACCTGGCAACCCTTTGAAGCAGCGAAGTCAGCCGCCCAACGGCAATGCCCAGCAACGCTGCGAAGGGAGCCTGAGGCCCAGAGAGAGGGGTGCACAGGATCACTTGGAAGCAGGCCTGCCCACCTCCAGTGCAGTCACCTGCCTCTGATACAGGCCTTGGCAGAACAGCCGACCAGTGAGTAGCAGGGGAATAAGGGCTGGCTAAGCCTACTTAGCTAGAGGAAGGGTTAGGTTGCGGGGGGGGGGAAGGCCCCCTGGAGGGACCAACTCACATGGGGCGGAGGATAGTGGCCAGTAGCCTTCCTCCGGCTTCATCTCTGGCGGGGAAAACCCCTTCCAGAAGGCTGGAAGGCTAAACCAAGGGCACTTTGGAAATGCTTTGCCATTAAACCGGAACAAACAGGGAGATGGGTTGCAGTCAAGAGGGCAGGCGTTTTTGGTTGCCCAGAGTCTCAAGTCTGGCAGAGATAGCAGATGTCGATAGAGAATTTAGAAACAAGAAACTGGCCAGTTAAAAAGAACCAAGGTCAATAATACAACTGTGTTGCCCCTGGGATCCCCCCCCGTCCCTTCGATGGTTCCAACGGCCTCTTCCTTTTTCTTCAACTGACTTTTGCAACTGCTCCGGAATGACAGCAACTGTCTGTTGCCCACAGCCAGGAGGCTCTTCCTCGGGCACAGCTCAGCTGGCTTCTCCCTTTTACCCAGTTTGGCTGGCTTGCTGCTGAGCCTGGGGGTGGGGTGGGGGCTGCCTGGCCTGTGCCCCTTCTTTGACTCCCCACCCTCACCCCCCCCGAGTCTGAATTCAGAGGGCAGGAAGGAAGAAGCGCCTGGGTGTTCTTTCAGATGGTCAGCCAGGGCAATTAGGTACTAAAAGAGAGAGAGGGGGAGGGAGGGAGGGAGAGGGAGGGAGGGAGAGAGAGAGAGAGAGAGAGAGAGAGAGAGAGAGAGAGAGAGAGAGAGAGAGAGA